GAAATATCAACTTCTAAATATCTTCCAAGATATATTAAGGGACACGACTAAAGTTAGTGTCTGTTATATATATATATATATATATATATAGAAAACCATTAGGAAGAGCAGCTTAATTATGACCTCCTGTAATAGTCTTGCATTTTTTTTTTACTTGAAGAAATGAGTAAGACTAAAAGAAGGAAAAATGTAACATTTCCTATAGCATTAACACGTTTCCATTTTGTAGCAGATATTCCGCCTCTTCTTCCCTCCCATTTCATTCTTATGTGGTACAAATGGTATTACCTGCTTATATACCTGTAGCCTTAAGGGTTTATGCTCTCTTTCAAAATATTAAAATACATGGAAGCTGCAAATTCATTAGACCAATGGACCCGTCTGGAATGGGTATTAACATGGAGGTAATTTTGTGCTCCTACATACAAACTTTTATATTGAAACTGCCTTTGTGCATTAGTGTCTGTTTGGTTGTTGACACTTCAAATTGATTAACATAACTAGAGGTTTTATCTTAGCTTTTTAAATGAAACCATTAGCATGCTTCACTACTGAAACTGTTTTCAAGACAATGATTTGTTATTTTTCACTGCGCTCAGGAAGGCCCAGTTTGTTCCATAGTATTTATACACAGAAAAGCACTGAAGTAACAGTCGCAGTTTAATCACTTAATGTCGCCATTAGGTTTTAAAGTCAATAAATCCAGATAATAAGCAAAATTGTAAATCTCTCTTTGGCATAAGAAATGCTTTATTGCAGGGGTTTGGATTCCTACGTGGCTGCCGCCTTTGAGAAATCATTTTATTCAGCTGTTATCTAAGGGCTTGTTTTGGCCATTTTCACTAATTGGATGCGTTGCCAAGTGTCAACATCAGAATAGTGGATTGGTGCATACTTTTACGGTTCTAGTTGCACTCTGGTCTGTTCCTCCTTTCTACAGGTAACTGCTCCCAAGTGCATCCACTGGTGGCTTTAGGGTTGTTAATAGCATTTGTAGCCATTTGTCCTTAGGTCACTGATTTAGCACTGAGCATAGGTAGGGACCTACCAAATTCGAGGAGGCTACCTCTAGTTTGGGGGGCAGAACCCAGGGCCTGGCAGCCATTTTGTGGGTGGGGCCCCATGACAGACAGCCCTCAGAGCCAGTCAGCAGCAAGAGGTGGGGGTGACAGCCATCTTGCCAGCACCCCACCCTCCCCCTTCTTTGGTGGGCTGCTGCAGCACTGTTAGGACTGCTAGCTCCTTCTGGGGAGCTAACATTTTATTTTCCATAAGTTTTGTGGGTTTTTTTGTCCCGCTTCCCCCCCAGGTTTCACAGGCAATGCAGGTTTTGGAAAATCCGTGAAATTGCAATTTCAGTAGGTCCCTAGGCGTAGGTCAGTAGTGCCTGAAAAGTGCCAGCATCAAGATGTCCATACCACAGATCCCAACAGTAATTGGCACTCTCTTGACTATCTCAGAAGAAGGGGTAAAGCCCTGTTGTGTGTACTAACTGTGAACACTGGCTAAGTTCAGAAAGCCTCTGGCGGAAGGTGCTCTCACTATTGTGCTTTACTTAAAGTGCTGTAAGTTAGAGTACGTTCCAACCAAACAGATGTGCTGGTCAGTGGAGGGAACTCGGTGCCTGCCTGCACTGGCCAAGATCAGCAGGCGGGAGGTGCTCCCAGGAGTCTGCAGGAGAACTGTGCTGCACCACTCCTCCCCCACCAGCTGGTGACCGTCAGCAGTGGGCAGGGGCAGAGGGGAAAGGGAACCCCCCACTGCAGGGTCTCTGCTACAGCCTGCTAGCTGGGGTCTTGAAGGGGAGGCTCCTTTCACTTGGCCCCGTTTCGCAGTGCAAGGACTCGCCAGTCCGGGCTGCCCCTCCTGCAGTTGCTGGCTGCTCCTGTCAAGAAGCTTGGGCAGGGGGGGAAGGTCCTCCACCACGGGGACCCAGCCCAGTCCTTCCCACCTCCCCAAGGACCCTAGATAGCAAACTGTGGGAGCCCTTGCAGCAGGGGAGTTCCCTTTCCCCTGTCCCAGCCTCTTTACAGCAGCAGCTTAGCCTCACATTTTGCTGCACTGGGAACTGGGGCCCAAGGGTGGGGGGCAGGGGAAAGCCCCTTGTAGACTCGGGGTGACCCCCCAAGCAACAAACTGCGGGGAGGGCCCTTGCAGCAGGGGCTCACCCCCCCACTCCTTCCTTCCAGCCACAGTTCCTGGCACAGCAAAAAGCTGTAGCTGGCAGGTCACTCGGGGAGCGGGGCTGAATGGAGCCCCTTGCCCGGACCTGGCCCTTTCCTGCTTCGTCCCCCCACTGTCAGCAAGCTGTGGGGTAGCACTCATGGCAAGAGGGGCTCTGTGTTAGAGTGGACATGTACATGGATAGTATTGCGATGTTGAAGTTTCTATGTTAACTTTTTGGAAGTAAACTAAAATTGTTAAACAACACAAGTTTCTTCTTGCATAAACAGAAACCGGCAATAGTACATAATTTCTAATTAAATTACTCAGAAAATATGCACACAGATTAATATCTTGTTTCAACTATGGCTTTTCTTTCTTGTTTCTTGGCAGAAATGGATACTCGTATAAAGTGGCAGTTGCTCTGTCTTTATTTCTTGGATGGCTGGGAGCAGACAGATTTTATCTAGGCTATCCTGCTTTAGGTAAGCTTGTTTTTTCTGGATTTGTTAAATAAAAGCTAATTCTATATTACTGCAATTTACATGTATACTTATGTCTGAAGTACTGACCTGTCAATGTATTCAAACTTACAACAGTATTTTTTACTTCACTTCAAAAGCAAAGCAGTATACAGATCTGCCTCCTAGTGTCAGTGTGTTAGCCATTTAAATGGACACAAGGTCAAACAGATTGTTATTTTAAGTCAGGGCTTTCCAATTTCAAAGCAGCTAGGGGCAACATGTCCCAAAGGCCACACCAGTAGGGGCCTTACACTGCAAGGGCAGCACTAAGATGTACCATGACCCCCAAGACTGCGCACTGAGACTCCTCCATCGTTGCACTGTCTGGGTGAGTGCTCCCTCCACTGCACCCTACCTCCCCTTCCTCTCCCTGTGGGCTCCTATGTGGCATTGCACCATGAGGGTGCTCCAAGCTACTAGCTCCTCCAACACTGTGGGCTGTGCTACATCATTTTGTACTGTGCTCTCCCCCAGGGCAGGGGCATGCAGCAGAAGCCAAGGGAAGAAGGGGGAGCCCTGAGACCCAGCTGCTACCACAGCTAGAGGAATAAGGGTAGGGGAGCCCAGGGGTTGTATTTTAAGCCCTCACAGACCCTCAGTTGGACAGCCCCAATTTAAGTGAGTATAACTCCTTTTAAAGCAAGCAGCAACAAAGAGGTACTGTGGTTAACTAGCAGGGCATGTTAGCAAATTTGATTTGGTACCATTTCCTTGGGCAAATCACTGCATTTTTCTGAACCTCAAATGGTTATGAAACTCTGAGATCTAATGAGAGAAGCTGTATTTAATATTAATATAATTATTTAGGATTTGAACTGGTTTATCCTATGGCTGAATTATAATCTTGTCACTCGTTTGGGTAATATCCATCGGTTTCTGGCCAAATAGTTCAAATACGTTTTTAAAATTCTATATGTTCTCTTTTTTTTTTTTTTATAAAAAGTAGATGTGAAATCAGACAGTCCAATAGGAACCTGAACTGACCAACTTCCTGTACTAAACAGTTGAATTGTATACCATATGAAGTCCACTGTACAATAACTATTTCATCATTATAGTTTATAAAATATAAACTTAAACTAAAAGATGCAGTGTAGGAAGATATTTTTGACTGAATTGTGATGTTCTGTAATTTAATGAATACTATGTGGTTATTGAGATGTTTACTGGGTGAAGGTATTGGTTTTATTTTGGGATGGTTTTCCTTGCAGTAGGAAGAGAGAGACTGATTTAAAATAAACTTATCTGGGGATACAAAAGCACCTGCTGAGCTGCTTAACTACTTCAAACATGCCTAAGCCACTACCCCAGAGGACAGGTCATTAGGTAACAGACAAATGCAGACTTTTAAAATACTTATTCCACTAAATCCTTTGTTCCTACTCTTAAAATAAACACAGCATTGATTTTAAGATAGCTTTTGGTCTGAATACTAGTGGTCACAAAGCCCCAAAAAGACCACCACAGATGTCAAACCCAGTTCAGCCTGGTGGATGGGGACAATTTAAACCCAGAATATTATAGCCTAGGGCCTGGTTTGAGTGGGGGAACTGCAGAAATCCACACGAGAGATAGAGAAGCACTAGACCTGATAACTGACTTTAAATACCAAAAGGAGGTTCATCTGTAACCATAGCAATATCTTATCTAAATACCTATTTTAAATTAAAAAAAACCCAGTGTTTAATGTCTGAATGATAACTGTTAACCTGCCATTAACAGGCTTGATAGATTCTACTGTTTTGTTAGCTGTTCTTTGCATGTAATTTTCTTAATTAGTATATTAACTCTAATTGCTTTCAGATACTACTTTTATCAAGCTATATTATTGAATTAATTATTTTCTTTGTGTAGATTTGCAATATGCAACTGAATATTTATTGTGTTTTTATCTTTACCAAGAATTTAAATAATTGTCTTTGGATAAAACTCTAGACTTCTTAAATTAGTGTCATGATTAATTTAACTTTTAAGAGTTTCTTTCAGTAATTTCAGTTTATTATGCCCCAGCTTATAGTTTATATTTTTAATTTACAATTGATTCAAGTTTCTTTCACAATATTCAAGGCAGTTTGAAGTTTTTGTTCTCCACTTGTATAGTGAAAGTGAAATGTTGATTGGTGAATCTACATGATCAGGTCTTAATTTTTTCTAGCACAAAATAAATAAGTTTTACAATAAGTACCAAGGGATCTAATCCTGGTTCTTCCTGGGGCAATGCTGATTATCTTTGGTGAGTCTTCTGAAGCTGGGACTGTAATGAAGTTACGCAAGGTAATAACTATGCCAAATAGCATTTTCAGGATTTGATCCACAGGGTGAAGAAGGTGACGTTGGTTTCTAGGGTATCCAGGCATCCTATTATGTTAGAACTACTGTCTCAGTATATTAAAGAATTTTTCACTTATGTTTAACTCTAGATAATATGATGTAATTGGTAGAGAAGCTAAGTATACTAGTGCCACTTCAACTGCCTCTTAAATGTGAAGTCTTGTTTTTCTAATAATGTTCTCTGTCCTTATGGAGAGTTCTGTGTTAACATCTGTGGTCTCTTTTCTGAGATTCTATAATTAGCATACTTATTTTCCCATCTGTTGCATAAAAAGATTAAATCCTCTAAGATTCCTTTTTTGGAATCAGTTGATAACTCAAGATGTCCATTTTCCATGGTACCAATGCTTCAAGTTGTTTCCTTTTTATCTGTGGGACTTAGAATAAGAATGTGCAATATTTTTAGGTTTCAGACACTTGTATGAAAAGCCTTTAATACAGAAGGCTTAACTTCTGTATTTCTTGCACTTAAATTGGTGGAGAACAGTGAAGCAGAAACAAAATTAATTTATTGATTTTTCTATCTCATTGTCAAAAATGTGTTGCTTGACACACCTGCACTATGGCTAACAAATGGAACTATCTGAAATCTTGCAGGTTATTTTTAAGAGATGACTTGTAAAGCAGCAGGCTTCCTTAAATGTGGAAAGAAATCACCCTTTTTAAGAGCATGGGCTGGTTTGGGACCTGGATCAGGTCCATAGGCCTACCTCACATGCCAGAGCCAGTTTGATGCAGGTGACACATGCAGTGTGTGCCCTGGACTGGCCTCACATGATGCTTTTAGCATACATGCCGCCTCTAGCCCTGTGCACTGCATGTAGCATGCACTGACCTTGGCCCTTGCTTGGTACATGGGCTGGTTCTGGATGGGTGCCCCACACAGTGCACAAGCTGGTCTGGTGTGCATGCTGCATGTGGCGCCTGCATTGGTCCGGCCCTGTGGGCTGGCTCCAATGTGCAAGGCTGGTTTGTGGGCCTGATCTGGACCAGACCCAGATCCAGCATACAGGGGTAGTATGTCATAAAGCATGTAGCCAAGACTGGCCTCGCACACTGTGTAGCACACCGGCTCCAGGTCCCATGCTGTGTGAAGTCTGCGCCAGAAGGGCTCTGCATGCAGTGCACTGGGCTGGGTCAATGTGTGTTGCATACAGCATACCGGTCCGAAACGTAATAGGCCACGCTGCAGGCCGGATCTTTGACACTCCTGATTTACAGCCTATGTATCCTGTTCGTGTTTTGAAAACGGAAAACATTCATTCATCAACTCACTTAACATTTAGGAAGGAGTAATGTTTTTACTTCTTCATAAATGTGGTTTTGGCCTACTGTTTCTTAAAGGCATTTTCACACTGCTTTTTGAAAGCTGGAGCAAGTATACCCCATTCATCATTTCTACATACATCAGATACCTATTTTTCAATAAGGGCACTTTGGACTGTACAAAGGCTTGACTTTAAACCAGTTTCTCTTGCTTCAAAAAATTATCAAAACAGGATGTTGCAAGATAAGTCTCCTGTTGTTAAGTTAGTAGGTAAAAGTTTCACTTAGAAGTATTTCTTTTTCAATTGGTAAATGTAATCCTCAAAGGTGTAGGAACAATTGCATTAACTTTAACCAGGCTTTGCAAAAAGCACCCAACACCACTCCACTGATGCACCACTTTTCTTATCATTTGTTTCTCAGCAATTTTTATCTTGGTTTGTCTGCTCTCAAGAAGAGCCTACTGCACTAAATAATATCAGTTTGTGAGGTTTTCTGTGAAGAGACTACCAAGCTCTTTCACACTGGCATCTAAATTTGTGTTTGAACCATCTTTGAAATGGGGAAGTCATCTACTTGGCTATTTAAAAAAAACAGCAACCAACCAACCTGTGCCAGCCTAAGCCTTAATAGTTAAGAAACTCTTTTTCCATGACTTATTGAAAACTGAATCATTGTCATAAGTACCACAATATTTAGACTTCTAACTTAGGTCTAAAAAAACTAGTTCTTGACTGCAAAAACACTTATTAGTTCCTGATAGAATCATAGAAAATAAGGGTTGGAAGGAAACTCAGGAGATCTAGTCCAACCCCCTGCTCAAAGCAGGACCAGCTCCAATTATCATCCCAGTCAAGGCTTTGTCTAGCCAGGTCTTAAAACCCTCCAAGGATGGAGATTCCACAGCCTCTCTGAGTAACCTGTTCCAGTGCTTTACTATCCTCCCAGCGATGAAGTTTTTCCTAATATCTAACCTAAACTTCCCTTCATGCAACCTGAGACTGTTGCTTCTTGTTCTGTTATCTGCCCCCACTGAGAACAGTCCAGCTCCATCCTCTTTTGGAACAACCCTTCAGGTAGTTAAGGGATGCTATTAAATCTTCTCTGTCTTCTCTTCACCAGACTAACTAAGCCCAGTTCCCTCCACTTCTCCTCAAAAGTCATGTGCCCCAGCTCCTGAACCACTTTTGTTGCCATCCGCTGGATGGCAACATAATTTGTCTATATCCTTTCTGTAGTGAGGGTCCCAACACTGGACACAATACTCCAGATGTGGCCTCACCAGCTTTGAGCAGGGGGAAATAATCACTTCCCTTGATCTGCTGGCAACGCTCCTACTAATACAGCTCTGTATGCTATTAGCCTTCTTGGCAACAAGAACACACTGTTGCCTCATATTTAGCTGCTTGTCCACTGTAACCCCCAGGTCCTTTTCTGCAGAACTGCTGCTAGGCCAGTCAGCCTGTACCAGTGTATGGAATTGTTCTGTTCTAAGTGCAGGACTTTGCCCTTGTAGTTATTGAACCTCATAAGATTTCTTTTGGTCCAATCCTCTAATTCATCAAGGTTTCTCTGAATCCTAGCCCTACCCTCCAGTGTATCCACTACCTCCCCCAGCTTGGCGTCATCTGCAGACTTGCTGAGTGTACACTACATCTCTTCTCAAGATGATGTAGGAAGGACACATCATATAGTCCAGACTTTTAGTCCCAATCAATAATCTTGCCTTTTCTGAGTCGCTAAAGGCTCAGTGCTCTTAGTTACCCTCTGCAGGGTGAAAAAAATTATGCTTAACATGGGACAGGTCCCATGCCTAGTAAGTATTTCAAACATACTAATGGTGGTGTTGGTGCGCCACTTCTCTAAAAACATGGATTAAGGGACAGTCAATGAAACTGAAAGGCAACAGACTTAAAACTGGTAAATACGTATATGATGCACAGTTATCCTCTGGAATTCCTTTCAGCAAAATGCCTTTCAGGAGGGCAGCAGAATTCAAACAAGAATCTGGCACATGGATAGTAGAGACAGTTATCACAGAGAGGATTTTTAAAATATAGGATATACAGGCCTTACTGCTTGGGAGGTTGGTCATCCTCTAGAGATGGTGGTTGCCCGTAAGTAAAGTTATCTGACTTATCTGCTCAGTATGGCAGTTTCTGTGAATGTTAAACCTGTGGGTACCTTTTCATGTGCTCTTATATGCTGGAAGCTTGTTGGTCTAACAACATTAACATGCAGCTTCAAATAAGTAATCCTTCCTTCTCATGTTAAGGACTGTGTGCTAATTTCCTATTTCAGTCTTTTCCTTTTCCTTTTCCTTTTTTTTTTTTTAAGACCTTCAAAAACAGTGGTTGGCAACTTTTAAGGCTGCAGACCAGATAGGCCTAGTTTGGGTCACCGGGTAGGAGGCTGGGTGATAGGACCTACCTGCTATGCCACTTTTCCCTGCTGGCATAGGGGAAGCGACTGTTGCCAGAGCCCCCACATCCATGGGCCCATGGACCATAGGTTGCTGACCCCTGTTCAAAATAACATATAGTCACATGCACACACATCCTTTTCCTTCCTCTCCCCTCCTCCCACCCCCATTTGGTGTAGTGGTATAATTTATGACAAACACCACAGTCAGACACTGTAGCATTGCATCTATTCCACAAGTATCTTGAATCTTCCAGAGTTCTAAGAATCCCCCAAATGTCCCATTCAAATGCTTCATATAGCAATTAAAAGCGAACACTAATTCAGAATTTTGAGCTCCAATGCAACAGCCTACACTCCAACTCTGATGTCTTCCCTTACTTAAGATGGATTTATTTTTATGAGGCTGGGTTGGGTTTTTTTTGTTTTAATGAATAAAGGTTCAGATCTCTATATTATTGGAACTTAGAGCTGTTTCTGTACAAAATTTCAAGTTTGATCAGTGAATGAATTGGTGCATGAGTCTTTGATTTCCTGTTATTGTTGCCAAAAACAGCTTTGATATTCAGAATGGTTCGAAGGTTACTGTGTTTGGGTTCATTAAGGGCAGGTCCTGTCAGACTGATTGCCTTCTACGATCAGGTCACAAAATTATTGGACACAGGTGTTGCGGTGGACGTAGTCTTTCTGGACTTCAGGAAGTCCTTTGACACTGTCTCCCATCCCATTCTCATGAAAGAGCTAGGGACTGTGGCACTGATGCCAACACAGTCAGGTGGGTCGCAAATTGGCTGAGGGGCCGCACCCAGAGAGTGGTGGTGGACGGGTCTTATTCGACCTGGAGGGATGTGGACAGTGGGGTCCCCCAGGGCTCAGTCCTTGGGCCCGCACTGTTTAATCTCTCTGTTAGCGACTTGGACAAGGGGGTGAAAAGCACCCTGTTCAAATTTGCTGATGACACCGAGATCTGGGGTGAGGTGGGCACACAAAGGGAGGGACAGGATACAGCTGGACCTGGATAGGTTACAGGGGTAGGCAAATGAGAATAGGATGGGATTCAGTACTGACAAGTGCAGGATGCTACATTAAGGCAGTAAGAACCAGCAGCATGCCTATAGCCTGGGGATCTCCCTTCTTGAAAGCACGGTGGCAGACAGAGATCTTGGAGTCATGATTAATTCCAAAATGAACGTGAGCCGCCAATGTGAGGACGCGGTCAGTAAGGCTAACTGCACCTTGTCATGGATCACAGGCAGGATCAAGAAGGTGATCCTCCCCCTCTATGCGACACTGGTCAGGCCACAGCTGGAGTACTGCGTCCAGTTCTGGGCGCCCCACTTCAGGAGAGATGTGGCCAGCATCGAGAGGGTCCAGAGGAGGGCCACCCGCATGATCAGGAGTCAGCAGAGCAGACCCTATGAGGAGAGGCTACAGGACCTGAACCTGTTCAGCCTTCACAAGAGAAGGCTGAGAGGGGATCTGGTAGTCGTCTATAAACTTACCAGGGGGGACCAGCGGGGAATGGGAGAGACCCTGTTCACCTGAGCACCTCCCAGAGTAACAAGGAATAAAGGCCATAAGTTGTTTGAGAGTAGGTTCAGACTGGACATTAGAAGACACTATTTCACAGTCAGGATAGCTAGGATCTGGAACCAACTTCCAAAGGAAGTGGTGCTGACTTCTAACTTGGGGGTCTTGAAGAAGAGGCTTGACAGTTACCTAGCTGTGGTCATATGAGCCCAGTATTCTCTCCTGTCCAGGGCAGGGGGTTGAACTTGATGATCTACTTTGGTCCCTTCTGACCCCTACATCTATGAATCTATGAACAGCTTTTATCTTTAAAAAAAAAAAAAAAAGAGAGAGAGAAATCAATAAAACGGTTTACTTGTCAGCGAGCAATTTATTTTTGGGTCATCTATTCCCTGACAGGAGTAGAAATCAAGACATTTTGCAGAAACGTGGTGAAAAAATGCTCTTATAGACATCTGCTTGCTTCTGCTGTGCTTAAAGGGAGCACTGGTATATCCAAACTAATGAATACAAGTGAACAAGTTGATTTATTTTGCAGGGTTCACAATGTAATCTCCTAACTCTAAATTTAAATAACCCATTTACTATGGGTAGGACCACTAACATTTTTTTCACTCTATATTCTTTCACTTATTTGGTCAAAGTTTCTTGAATTTTAGTTCCTCCTTTCATTAACTTTCTCTACACTCCCCCAAAACAAAACTTGGACTCAGTAACAGTGTTTTATACAGCCTGTACCGCAACTGAAATGATACAGTCCACATTAGCTCTGCAGCCAATTGCACAGGTAAAATGCTTACAAACATAGAGCTACCATCTCGACTGCAGTCACCATATTGTTAGTGTGGTAAAAGGGGTTTGTTGGGTCTCTAAAATACTCAAATGTGTTTAGCACTTGGTGAGATGGTGAAATAATCTACCATAAAAATTCTGTGTGGAGGATTTTCCAGATACGGAGACAGGTAGGTACTCTTGTATTTACCAAAGAAGTTGGCATGTGATATGTTAATATTGTCTCTGAATTTATCCTGGTGCTGAGATTTGTTGTGTTAGCTGTTTGTGACTTCAAAGCCACTGCTGCTGTCAAACTGTGTATGACAGACTGCTACAAGTTTCACAGATCAGCCATTAGGAACAACATTTATATACCTTTATATTTTTGCAAATAATAAGGCCTGCATGTCTTATTGCTTATCCTGCAATTGGTATTTCCATTTCTCTCGGCATGAACTTATTATTAAATCTCCATTTTTTTTCTGTTGTGTTTCTCCTGTAAAATATATGGAGAGAGGTGTATTGTCAGTGTTTATTTTTATTACATCAGAAGGATGCCATGTGCTTTATGGATAGGTATAAACATAAGCTCCCTGTTGAGAGCATTTTGCAGTATATCCTGCTATTACCTTGACCTGGTTACAGGGGAAACATCTATGCATTCCTTTTCTTAAGTAAAATTCCCTTGAATGTCCCAGTGTCTTGGGAGCCTGAAACTTTTAGGTCATCTTTTCAATTGGAGCTGTTTTATTTAAAGCCATTGAAAAAGATCATTTAGTCTTAAATTTTATCTAAAATGTATTTCTTCCCCATATTCTATGGACAACTCTCAATGAAGCAATCATTTGTTAGTCATTTTAGACATGTCCCAGTGGAATTGGGACAAATATCCAAAAGTTTAGTTGGAGGGGAAGCAGGAGGAGGACATAAAGTGGTTACTTTTGTGTCTATTAGAAGTGGTATCCAAACCTAGCATGTAATGCAATTAATATGTAATGCGGTTTGAAACAATAGAAAGTTTGACATTAAATAAGTCTTACAGCTTAATTGCATGAAGATTCCTGTGTTCTTTATGTGAACTCAGACTAGCACATAAGGAAAAGAATCTCAACAATTTAAGATGATTGTAATAATTCATGTCTGCTAAATTTAACTAATATAATTAAGTCAGCTTCTTCAAAGGTGGCATAAGCGAAGACTATCTAATTATTAAAGATTTGAATTAATTTTAGTTATGATAAATCAAGTCTTTTTTTGGGGTGGAGTGGGAGTCGGAGAAATGCCAACTGTTTAGAAACTGTAAAGTCCTCTAAATGATAGAGAACTTCCCAAGGTTGAAATGAAATCTTTTTTTTTTTTAGGTTTGCTAAAGTTTTGCACTGTAGGTTTTTGTGGAATTGGAAGCCTAATTGATTTCATTCTTATTTCCATGCAGGTAAGTCGATGCCTTCAAATTGAGATACAAAAAAAAAAAAAAAAGTTCTTTTCTACTTAAGAAAAGGTCCAGTTTAGTCCAAAAGGTGGCCAGTCACCTGTCCAAAAGACTTTTCTTAATCTTTTTGCATTAAAATCTATATACTTACATCTCAGTTATGTTTATAATCTTACATTGAAGAGGACATGAACATGAAGGTTTACAGATTTGAAGTTTTTAAAAACTATGGACTGGATATTTGTTCCAACTGCTGCAGTGCAACTACCTTTTAGGTATAAGTTTGAGGCTTTTTCACCACAAAAACAATACTTTGTAACCACAGAATGAAACCCAACACATTTACAACCAGCTGAAGAACATTAGGCAAAATTTAATTCCCCATTGCAAGTATGTGGCTTAGTCATGTGAGGTGTAAGATACCCCAGGATTTTGTGACTATTGGTATTTAAGGTCATTGGCTTAATACCGCACTTGGGAGACATCTGTAAGTGCGTCCAAAAAGACTGCACTGATGAACCTGATGGTCTAGGATGGTATTTGAATGACTTTAAGAACAGAGTCCCATTTAAAGACAGTGGAGCCTGTGCTCTAAATTCACTCCACTACTTTTAAATTTAACTCCTCTCCCAACAGCTACAGATTAAAATTTTATCTTTGTTAATCGGTCACTGACTTGCTGATTAATGGTGCTGCAGAAGTCGGGTTTTAGTTACTATTGTTTTGTGTAGACATACCAGGGTGTTGGAAACCAGAAAAGAGGAGAAAGAGAAGATGCTGATTATCCAGATATATGGTAAAATTTCAGTAATCCAACTTTGTTTTCTTCACAAACTAGAAAGTGACAGATACAATGCATAATTTTATAACTAAAATATATTAAAATATCCAGCGCGTCTTTGAGCAAAGGAGTGTGTGATGTTTCAACAATCTTGGTCTGGCTACTTTGCTCTGTGTCTATATCAGCTTTACTCTTGCTTCCTGCTTCATTTCTCCAAAGTGGAAAGAAGCTGTACTTTTGTAAATAATACTTTATGAACGCAACTGTCAATTTGAACTGAGTTTGGGAGCCAGCTTTAGTTAGTGTTCTTGACCCTCCTGAAATATCTTATCAGAAGGCATAACACACCAGCTTTGCGTGTGTTCCATTGTGGTGCACTTACAGATGATATACTACATCTACTATTCTGAACGTAATAAAATTCCTGTTCTCCATTTTTAAGTTTACATGTGATCATCTGCTAGCTTACCCCATGATTTAAGGTGGGAGGAGGCATGGATGAGGGAGTGCTGCCACTTTATCTTGGGGCAAAAGAAGTGTGATTGAAAAAGTGTGGTTTCATTTTGGAGTGACAGTTTGTGCCTCACAGAGATGACTTCCTCTATTTCTGGGATAATATCCATGTCCTGAATGTTTGAATACAGCTTTTGGGTTTTTTTTTTCCAATTTTGTATTTTGCTTATTGGCCATCAACGTTTTGCATTTTGTTGAAAACTGTTAGGGCAAAGAAATTGCCAGTCTCTCAGGGATAAAATCCTGGACTGTAGGAAGGAAGCAAACAAAGATGTTACTGTCTCTTGACCCTGGATAAACAGAATACTTCAACTTATTTGTTGTGCAATTCATAAATTTTCTTTGCTACTCTGCAAAGACATACATCTTCATCCAGTTATGTAGCCTGTTCTAAATCTGCTAACAATAATGGTTATGACACGATGAAATAGCTTGCCTTTATTCTGTATAACACGTATTTTTACATTCTTCTGTGTCATACCTACCCAAAAAGTTAACCCCCACTGACCCAGGAAAACATCTCTTAAGCAGAAGATCTATTCTGAATAAAGAGTGAAGGGAAACGAGAAAAGGAATAGCAGGTGCAAAAAATTTAAACTACCTGAACAGTCTAACAAAAGCAGCAGAATTAATGGCTTTCCATCATGCCTAGAAGACTGCCAGTAAGGGACTTGACAGTCCTGGCCCTATTCCACCTTAATTCCGGTTCTTATCCGATGTCAGTCATCATGGAATCCGAGTTCATCAGGCGTAGAAAAGTGAAACAACTTGTCTAAAACTGTACCACTTCTTGTAATCATCTCTTGACCCTCATTTTTCCACCCTATGTAATAAATTATGCCACCTCCCTGTAGACTAATATTCCTATTTCTAGACATTTACGGTTCAAGGGAAGATGGTGTCTGGCTGCTTCTCCTCCCTCCTGAGAGAGTTCATGACATGAAATTCAATTATCATTTGGTACCACTATTATTCTTAGAACAATAAGGAACCAGTCTCAGAGCAGTGTTGCAGCTGAGATCCTTCAATCTAGACTTTTGAAAAGCTTTAATCTTTGGGACAGTTGTAAGAAGTTGGGATGTGCATGTATGTAATATTATGTTCACGCACATAGTTTTGTAGTATTTTAGTCGTAAAATATATATACCAGTAACCTTTCCTCCCATCACCTGCAGGCACGGTTGAGGGCAGTTTCCCTATAGGTTTTTTTTAAAAAGAAGAGGAGAAATCCAAGGAAAGCCACCCTCCTGTTCCTTACTAGGGTAGCATTTCCAAGTTAGTGCCATCTTCCCAGTCTCTCCCTTATCCCCACTCTAACTTTTCACTGAAATGGAGTTGTCTAGATACCTTCTGTCAGCAAAATCTTCTAGGACCACCTTCTATGACTTGAATCCTGACTAGTTCCTCCTACAGTTGAAGTGTAGCAGCTCGTTCCCCAGTGTCATTTGTTGTTTGAGCAGAAGTCCTAGGGAAGTATTCCTTCAAAAAAAGTGCTTACTAAAATGGTTCATTTGCAGGCACAACTTTAAGATGAGTCCACTTTTATATTTTACTGATTGAGCATGACTAATTTTATGATGGACAAGCTAACAGTAATTAAGACAGTAGCACAAAAACGTTTATTTTTAATTCATATTGAAAATATTTTTCTCTTTTCTAGATTGTTGGACCTTCTGATGGCTCTAGTTATATTATAGATTACTATGGAGCACGGCTTACCAGGCTGAGTATTACCAATGGAACCTTCAGAAAAATGCAGACATATCCCTAAGCCTGGCAGTAAGTCTCTCTCCCAGTCTCTCTACATGCACACACATACTTGATTGTGTTTATTGATTCAGTAAACTCCTAAAATGGATGTAGACTTAGTTCTGATGAAAGTGTCATTAATAAATATCTTTCTATATATTAAATGTTATACATTGGACAAAGATGGCAAATAGTAAATTTCATCAGGCAAATTACTTTGTCTTAGAGCAGGTGTGCCAAACATATGGTCTATGGGCCAGATTCACCCCACAGAATCATTCCATCTGGTCTGATGGTAGTCCAGCGGCTACTGGAAGATGGGGGCCTGGCCAGTAGAGCATGGCCTGCCACAGAATTTGGGGTCCCTGGACCCCAATGGACATAGCTTTCAGTGGCAGAGGGGTAAATGAGGGCTGTTCCTTGCTGCCACTCGTGACCCCTCCCCACAGTGCTGCTGCCTGATTTCCTATGCCCTCCTCTTTACCCTGTGTCCTGCACTGCTGCTCAAGTTTCCCCTCACCCTGTGCTGCCCAGCTCACTGCTGCTCTCTCTTGGACCCACCCCAGCTATTGTTGGCTCCACAGATCCTGCCTGGGACAAGCTCTTCTGGTTTGGATCAAACCTAGGATCTAAAGTGTTTGACACCCCTGCCTTTAAAGGTACTCATTTTTCAGGTTGCATATATGTGACTAATCTTTCTAGAAACATACAACTCAGGGTTCTGAAGTTATACCACGTCTTAGGTATACAGATGCTTAGAATTTGCACTGTCAATGTTTTGTCGTTCAGTGTGATTTTGAATTTTTTACTGGGATAAAAGTGAGTTTGGGGGTTGACAAGGCATCTGGGATGACAGCCTATAATCTATTGAACTTTGAAAGTTTGATATCATCAGTGGGGCCAAGATTTCAGCCATGGTAGCTTAAGTGTCAATTGTGTGTCACCGTTTCCAGGATGTAAGACCTCTGCAATAGTTATGGAGTGATAACGATTTTTTAAAGACCTGGAAATTGTATTTTTCTCATTTTGTTTAAAAAAAACACATGGATGGGCCCAACTTCTGTGTTGATTTATTTTGTAATGCAACCCTGCTACTATGAGGGCTTTTTCTGTAGAGATCAATGACAATCTTCAGTAGTGCTTGCAAAATGTAGGCCACTCTTTAGCATAGCTGATTAGCAGCTGAAAAGGGGTTGTTTAAAAAAACCCCATAAATGAAGTACCTGAATTCAACAGTGAAAAGTGACATTGGGCATTGAAATTGGACTAGAACCTGTATATTTTTCCTGACTTGAATCTTGCAAAGCAAACATTTTGTCTCAAATGGATTCTAAAATTAAACATCTTTTTACCATCTTCCCTATAATTGTCTTTGAAAAAGACATAGGTGCTTTATGTTTAATGGTACAGAATATCAGGAGTAAGAATTTCTTGTACTGCTTATGTTACTAGAGGGTAAAAATTATGTAAACTATTCACTAATATCCTTGGTCCTTTTTTTAAATGGAGACCTGATAATAAAGTATTTTGTGCTGTCCAAGATGTATCTACTTTCCTTAATGTATGGGGATCACCAGAAGATAGTGTTGATGTTTAAATAGTCAGTATCTTTTTACTAGGGGTGCGCTGCTAGAGATTTTTGGGGCCGATACCAATGACCGATTTTTAAGGAGCCATGTCGGCTTATACTTATCTGATTCACATATGCAGCTGGGCAGCTTGGAGACCAGCATCAGGTGGTGTTGTGGGGGGGAGCTGGTCGAGGCCCCTGTGGTGATGGAGGGAGTGGGGCAGGGGCAAGCACTGCTCAGCCCGGGGTGGAGTGGGCACAGGATAGAGCCACGAGCGGCTCATTCACGGGGCGGGGAGGTGGGCTTGCGCCACTAAGCATACCTCAGGAGGGCGGCGAGGGAGATGTGTTCCCCCGGATCTGCGTGCGGGGTAGGGCCGGCTGCCGCTGCAGACTGGGTCTGGGGAAGTGCAGAGATCTTCCCGGCGGGAGGGCTGGGCCGGGCTGCACTCAAGACAGGCAGCAGTGATGGCAGTGGGAGGGAGCTCCAGCCACCCCAAAATTCACTATAGCCCCCCTCCCAGCACTGCTGCCACATGCTCCGAGCGCAGCCGAGCCCAGTGCTGCCCTAACCTAATACCTCCACTGGGAAGAGCCTGGTACAGCCCCCAGCCCCAGCCTGCCCTACCCTGCATGCAGATCTGGGGGCACACGCCCCCCATGCCCTCCCAGGGTGCGTGCAGTGGCAGGAGCTGCCCCCCCCCACACCCCACCAGGTGAGCTGCTTGCATCTTTTCTGCGCCCGCCCCAGCTGAGCAGTGCCTGCCTCTGCCCCACTCCCTCTGTCGCCACAGGGGGCCTTAATCTGTGCCCCCACCCATGCCCCTTCCCTCCTCCCCTCACCCTTCCCGCACAACAGACTTACCAGCCAATGCCGCTCTCCAAGCTGCCATGCTGCGCACATGCATGGGACATTTATCAGCCACATTATCGGCCACATTGGGCAAATATAGTCAATTTCTGATGCTGTCAATTTTCCCTATATTGGTGCGTATCCAATATAGGACCGAGGTATCGGTGAACCTCTGCTTCTTACTACTTAATCCAGTGGTGGCCAACCTTTTTCCCTAGTGAACCTGATAAGCATTTCCTGGTCCATCTGTGGGCTGGATCTGGACAGTGGTCCCAATTCGGCACCCAGGGTGGGCACAACAGGCACTATCTGGCTGCAGATCCGGGGGGTAGGCAGGGTGTGGAGCCTGCGCCCCGCTCCGCCTGGTCTATCAGGGTGTTGCCCCTCCCCTCAACTCGCCTGCCATGACTTGGATGTAAATATATACCTTAAGAGGGGTCTACAGTGGAGATCTTTATCCTGGGTGGGGCCTCCCAATAGATGGTGTTACTCATGGTCGTCTGACCCGGTGGTCCACGGGGCTCTGCCTCCCCTACACCCCGTCCACATGCCAACTGCTGGGTGATGCGTTCAAGATGTTTCCAGGCCTCATATGACAGCCTCAGACCGGTTCTCCGGTTCCCGGTCGTTCTCCCTGCTTCTGGGAGCGATTTCTCCTTTCTCCTCTTTTACAGGAAATACTCCTCCGAGTTA